CTGATAAATTTGCACATTTATTAACAGCCCTTCAGTCCTTCAAGCACGTGTAAGTAGATTTTACAAAGCTCCCACAACTATTTCTATGGATTAACGCTTGCCGAAGAGTAACAGTAAATAAGTGACACGCGCGTAATTAGGACTCTTACGTGGCAAACTATGGGTTAGTGAGAGAATGTAGTGCAACAGAAAAAAGCCAATTATATAATTGAAGTTTTGTTAGTGCTAGTGCTAGTAATTATGTAGTAAACGGAGTGAAAGAATAYCAAAATTTTATGAAATAATTGAGTTGGTTATCAGACATTCCAGCAAAATATTCCAAAAATGGGCTSAAAATGTATTTAGAACCTAAAATAAATAAATAAATAAAACGGTTAATTACTGTAACATAGTCTTTTATTGGCCTGAACTCGAACTCAGCTTAAAAAATTTCATTCAATTAGTAACCGATTTTCTTAAACCCATTTTTATATATATTTAAATTATTTACGCTGCGTTCCCTATACGAGAGCACCGCCGGTCGGCTGTGTGGTTTGGTTTTGTGTATTTTACCGTTGTCTAATCGGCTGCATAAGCGAGGCTGCGACACTTTCACTTTCACTGCTGCAATTTCACGTTCGATATTCGTATGAAGTTCATCAATTGTTGCGTGCTTRTTGGCTTWGATCATAGGCTTGACGTAGCCCCACAGCAAATAGTCTAACGGCGTCGAATCACACGATSGAGGCGGCCAACTGACTGGGCCGATAACACRTTYACAAAACTTGGTTTTCAATAAATCGATCGTAACCTTCGCTGTGTGGCTTGTGGCGCCGTCCTGTTGGAACCACATATTRTTCAAGTCCATATCATCCAATTCTGGGAAAAAAATGCTTGACATAGAGCAGTTGCGATTCRGATTCACAGTAACGTCCTGGTCTTGATTATCACCGAAGAACTACGGCCCAATGAGGCCGCTGGACCGAAATTTTTCGGAAAGTAATGGTGATTCATGGCGTGCGTACGAATGTACTTTCATATGAATAAAGAACGTCATTGATATCCAAATCGTTTTTGTTTTATTAAAAAAAAAAAAACACTTTTGTAGAGCTCTTATTGAAAACCCCATTCTTAAAGTTTAGACCACTGACTCCGAATTTCGGTAGTAAATTTTAATAACTTCGACTCGGTGTTGGATTGTATATCTTCCCACGATGAAACGCCAAACCTTACTAAAAAAAAAATGTTAAAAAAGCGGGAAAAAATATGGCGTCGCGTGCTGTCCCTATCAGTCTACTTTTATAGCGTTCTTTTTGAAAAACATGTTATATGCTTAATTCAATATTTAATGACGTTCATTTACTTACTTCCCAATTCTCATKTATTACCTTCAAAAGCACATATTCAATCGACAGATCACTTACAGAGCAAAGACACGATAAAGCTACTAATACCTCACAAAATCTCGAATTTTGTTTGTAAATATTTTTGTTTTCACACCGAATTTTCCTGCCGATGACAAAGCTAAACACACAATAAAGCACGGAAATCACAACTGAAAGCACAAGTTAGAAAACCGTTTATACACTTTGGAGCACTGTCTGTACCACACGTGTCACGGAGACCATGACCTGCTTGAATGGACTCAAAATCCCGCCAACTCAATAGCGTGTGGACAATTTTTTGCAAATCTTTGTAAATAATCATATTTATGAAACAAACGGTAAATATTTACCAGCGCACACATTACACAAATACACAAACCACACAGACATTAATTGCTACGCATATTGAAAAGCACATGCACTCACAGGCACACTCATAATCAAGTGGGACCCGACGGCCAGTGGAAGCGGATGAGACGTGTAAATAACTTGTGGTCATAAGTCTATAAACCATAGACTAGGCAAACATAGCGTCATGAATAATGAAATGGAACAAAATACAAAACATTTTTTTAGCCAGCCAGTTGAGCTCTAGTTTTGGTTTRCTTCCAGTCGACATAGGRCCGCCAAACAACAACGGAAAAATGGTTTATCCAGCACGCTTTCAAGCGYCACAAGCTAACGCGCTGCAGCTGTCCTACTCGGCGAGGCATACACCATTGCCGCAGAAACCGCGCATGATAATACAACTGCCCTCCTGGAAGAGTATACGACGCACGGCCGGCGAAATCAGCGCCTCCGCCTGGGAGCTGGCCTTCCGCTTTGGCCAGARYACRACAATACACGGCGTAAATCGGCTGTTCAGCAGGCGCGCCGGAAAGTATGAACGGTTAGTAGTAGAGGTCAGGTACTCCAATTCATTTACAATCAATTGCTATAATTTCTCATACCACAGCTGCGTCTGGTTCCTAACCGTCAYGCTCGCTCTACTCGGCGCCACTTACGTCAGCCTCTTGCTTTCCGAACGTTTCAGCGAAGGCCGTTTAGAAACTGTAGTGGATAGCACTCGCTATCCCATCTATCACATCAGCTTTCCGGTAGTGTCGATTTGCAACATGAATCAACTGAATTGGCAGAGACTGGAAGAGGCTAAACATCGTTATCTCGAGCCCGATGTGACACCGGAAAATCAAGAACTCTTCGAGCGTGTTATTGGCAGTTTTGATAACATTAAGTTTGCCGGCTTTGAGAGTTTTATGATATTCAAAAACATCTCTCTCGATGCACTGAACTACGTCAACTTTACCGAAGTAATGATTTTTATGACTTGGCGTTGCGAGGAGTTCTTGAGTCATTGTATGTGGAATCATTTCCCTATGAACTGTTGTGACATCTTCTCTTTGCGACGCAGCAAAAATGGTCTCTGTTGGGCTTTYAATACTTTGGAAACGGATGAGGGACGTCAGAAGCAAAAGGTTGACTCGCTGTGGCCTTGGCATACAGGCGCCGCCAGTCCGGGTAGTGGACTCATCGTACGCGCACTTATCAATCCTAAGAAACACAATCCAAGCAGCACCAACGAGAAGGGGGTAAATGTAAGATGAGAAATGKATTTACTTAAATGAAGCATGCATTAAAAAAACAAGTTTCTTAGGTTATGATTTCGGAGCCAAATGTGTGGCATAAGGATCCAATCAACATACTGGAAAATATGCACGCATTGGTGGAGGTGGAACCCGAAATGTATTTCCATGACAATAGTACTCGTCGWTTGACTACTAAGTCGAGAAAGTGCATTTTCAATGTAAGCGATTACCCGAAGAAGCTTATTACTTTCTTATGTATGGTATTATATGATAATACAATATTTAGTACTAAGGTGAATTGGGCACTCATATCTATGAAAAAATCATGAACAGGTGGGTTATTCCYCCTATTGGTTTCATCGCATTAGCGATGTTCCGGTGTTTATATCATTTGTGATAGTATCACTTATTCCCTAAGATATATCGAAWCTGGTCGTAAATAAATATAACTGGCATTTGATGTTCACCTGCTTTGAAACCCACTGACATTCCCCCCTTAACAAGTGCTTAAGAACGGTATATAGTCCTCATTAGGTCAACCAAAAGACTTTTACGCAGTCTGTAAGTATCACATTGGTCAACAAATTGCTTTGGGATACATCTCGTGAGAGTTCTATGCACATGCAATTCACAAAATGTGAACTTCTACCTTTAGGATTTTAAGGACAAAGAAGAATATTTTACCTCCAAGTGTCTACTAGTTCATATTCACAGCGGTTAGTTTTGCTGTTCACTTTCTTTGGATCCAAARGCTTTGTCGCAAACTAAGTTCTGATATTAATWTTAACTGTCCATGCTGTAGTGGTTGATCTCGCAATCTGCATTATGAGTAGTATTTAAATGAAGGTAAGTACCCAGTCATTACGAATTTCCACACACAATCCTTCAAGGCTGAAGCTATTTTCCACTGCCTTAGCGTTGTTGACTTCAAACGGTTTGTTAAAAAATAGTTCATAACGATTAATACCAAAGTAGTTCTGCTTCCGACACCCATTTAAAAAGCTTCTCATACATTGCACTGGCCTTTCCCATCATTCGACGGAGACCGATTCGAGCTCTTTGTGAAAAATATATTTTTAACTGCTGTGAGGGCCCCATAACTTTGGTAAAGTCTACTTGCATGCAAGGCGAATATGGAAGATCAAGGCTTAAACACTTGAGAGCGGATACCTTCAGACATTCCAACGAACTGGCGGGAATAAAAATTAGACCCCTGCGCAAATTTGTATTGGTTACTAAGCGGTTTGTGTCGCTTAAAGTAAATTTTCTGGCTTCAGGACTCTAAAAATCGATATGACATATGAGCACCAAGTTTTCATAAACATTGATGTCCCCTATTGTAGCTAGTTAGCTAGTTTGCTATAGGTACTTACCCCATTCAAAGAAAACCAATTTCTTAACTCCACTATTGTCACTCTATCTCTCTCTCTCTAGACTCTAACACTGTATCAGAACTACCCATACAAAATCTTCCAGTCGAAATGAATTCACTGATTCACTTATGTAAGCACTGAAGTGACTGTGTTATTGATTTTGTCACGAATCGCAAATATCTTTAAGCGTAAAGCTCCAGAAAAGTTCATACTCTACAAACCAAAGATTAGCTAACATAAAATAACAGTTCGAAGTTCGGCACTGTATGTACTCAATATAAAACTAATTTTAACAGGAGTGATGCAATTCTACATATGCGTAAGACTTACACACTATATCATGAGGATTCTACATATATCAAGACTTACTATATTCCCACTCTAATCCTTTTTTAAGGAAAAGGTAAGAAAAAGTGGTGAAACCGTAAGCAATGAGGGGTCATAACGTCTATTATTCAACTATTTATTTACTCACTTAAAGAGTTTAAAATGAGTTTACATTTTCCCTTAAATTATTTTCTCTTTCACTTGATTTCCTCGCCGTAAACCAGGACGAAACTAAATCGAAGTATTTTCGCACACTTCATGGTTACGTTTATATGATTGAAAATTGCCAATCGGAGTGCCATCAACAGTACTTGGTGAAATTTTGTAATTGCACGTTGGATTTGCTATTTCCACCTGGTAAGCACGTACAAACCATCAAGAGCGCGGCTCATTCTCGCCCTAATTCACTTGCTTTCTCCCTCTCTCTTCCTACTCAAGTGTAGTTTTCGTACTTAAAACTAGACTTTACTTGTGCTTTCAGGACCTTATACCAGCTGTCAAGCGAAGGACTTGTTGTGTTTGGCGCAGAATAACGGTAACGCACAAAAGTTAACTTACTCATTCTCGCATGACCACTTGCACTCCTACTCTTTTCGAACTATCTTACGCTCACTCTCTTGTATTTGCAGATCGCTTTGTATACTCTCGCCACGAGGAGGAGGAATTATATGTGCGCAATTATCACGAGAGCATGGTTTGTGAGTGTTACCGCAATTGTCACTCGCTCAGCTATATGACGGATGAACGTTCCACATCTATATCGGAGGAAACGCGCGGCAATCACTCAGTTGTCGTCTTAGATATACATTTTCGTTTCCACACAATCATGGTTTTTCGCACGGGTTTAGTCTTCGGTTGGGTGGACTTAATAGGTGAGTTGTTGCTGTAGCGCTAACTTTGATTTCAGGAAGCTGTAAATGTTGTGTTATTTTCTGGCTTTCAGTTGCTTTTGGTGGACTAGCTGGCCTCTTTCTCGGCTGCTCGCTAATTAGCACCATGGAGTTGGCCTAYTTTCTGCTTGTCGATCTGCCCACCTTTGTGCTGGAAAAATATCGCAACAATAGGGGTAAAATAGAACTTAAACAACGTGCGGCCGTAAGGCCCTTGCAACAACTGTACAAAAMCAAAAACAGTAATTTGAAGCCACAATTCCACATAAAAAGTCAACTAATTCAACCACAAAACTATGAAAGACTTTACAAAAATATCAAAATTAGCCGGAGACCGYCGCTTATCGCAGAATGGCAAGTGCCACAGATCGCTAAAATACACCACTGGAGCAGCTTGAATAACAAATGAATTATTTAGTGATTAATTTCAATTTATAAATTGAAAAATTATTGATCTTAAGGCACGATACTAAACTGTAATCTCATCTAGTGCACAAATTAAAAAAATATTACTCTGAATTTAAATTAAAATATATGAAAGCAATAAAACTGGTGATCCGAGTAGAGTTACTTGTTTCAAAAGCCTTTTTTTTCGGCTGAACAACGTTTAATTAAAAATTGTTGAACTTTATTGCAAAAATTCACATTCTGTAAAGATTGTGAATCGCGCTCAACTTATAGTCAACTTAATCGACCCACTCAGCATACTCTTTGCAAGATCATCACCTACCTTGAGACCTAACATTCATTATTGTATAATATTCGACCGAATAGACGACGTTCAGAACGCAGTGAAGAAAATATAGCAGTCATAGCTGAGAGTGGACGTGAAGACCGTGGAGAGTCGATTCGGCGCTGTTCGCAACAGCTCGAACTGGCGTATAGAACGACTAGGCGCATTTTACGTCGCGCTGTTAAATTGAAAGCGTACAAAATACAGCTTGTTGTGCAAGAACTGAAGCCATCCGACCTTCCCAAGATACATCGCTTTATTCTATGAGCTATTGAAAAGAGCCAAGAAGATCCGAAATTTTCGAGACATATTTAGTTCGGCAATGAGGCCCATTTCTGTCTGAATGGGTATATAAACCAGCCGAATTATCCCATTTGGAATGAAGACCAACCTGCCATTTCATATGGAAAAAACGAAGTCAATAACGACCGTATCGCGCCTTTATCACCGACTATTCTTGCCTGAAATTGAAGCTCGTGATATAGGCGATATTTGGTTTCCACAAGACAGCGCCACTTTCTACACATCGCATCAATCAATAGCTTTATTGAAAGAACACTTCAGTGAGCAGATAATTTCACATTTTGGGTCAGTCGATTGGCCACGAAGACTTTTTCCCACAATTTTTGAAGTTTCGAGATCATCCTTTTTATTAAGCTATAAAATAAATCCCCAAAATGAACATAATGGGTATATGAAGACTTCTAAAAAAAAAAAAAATGATTGAAACAACTAATGAGAAATCAGCTTTTATACACAGTCAGAATTTATAGTACGTACTAAAAAGTGTAAATACATAAATTCAAGTCCGAACCATTCAACCGAAGTGATCAATTTTGAGCTACAGATCACAATATTRTCAGGCCAAGATGCTCACCACAAAAATTTGTAATATACTGGCATTAAAAACACTCGACCACCACTTCTGCGTCTGATTGATGCGCAGGGACGSCGTTKTGYATTTTGCCGAACAAAGATCTTATTATTCAGCTTGATGCATCGCAATTGAACTTTGTCTAAACTACTTTTATACGGATTTCTTGTGTTAGCATTGCTTCTGGTATTTTTTTTTGAAGTTGATGATTGAATTTTACAATAACTCAACCAATAAACTTCAACTTTTTATTTCCAAGTTCGTTTGACACCTTTTAGACCTCGTCGCTAACGCGTGCACTTTCACTTTGACGCTGCAACTGGCGTCGCCATGCGATTACAGAGCGTAAATTACATACTACCGTTAGGCGTACAATACATTAACTTTTAGTAGATCTGCGAATTGTGCGCGGAATGTCTTTTATTTACAAGTGTCAACTGTTAATATTTTACAGCCCAGCGCTGGATGGAGTGAGTGGGTGCCAATAAAGTTCGTATGCATTGCATGTATTTGCCGTTATTTGACCTKCACTATTTAATTTATTGTAAACATGAATATTTGTAATACAAACACATTTAATTTTGATTGACATTTGATTGCAGCTGCGGTGCTGACAGGCAGCACTCAATAGTCCATACKCATTCTGTGGGAAAGAGCTCCACGCAAGCGTGTTGTTGCAGRCAGTGAATATGTGTTAATTTGTTGCTCTAAGTGACACGTGTAGGGCATATTTAAGAATACAAAATTACAAAGTGTTTAAAGAGCTAATTATGTAACGATTTATTTCATTCTTCATTTAAAGTTATTTTGTAACAACACGTTCTAGTATAAGATCAAGGCCGATTTTTGCAAACACATTTTTATTTGTTGTGTTACTAGCTTTTACCCATTTATACCAAGATCGTAACTTTTTATTTTAWACTAGCAGAAGTACAGCCTTGTTTTCAGCAATTTAGGTATGTCCGATAGTGGAAATAATCACAGAGTTTCAAAAATCATATCTTTTCCTGGAATCTTTTCGACAAATTTGATCAATTATTTGAATCAAAGTGTGATATTATGATCTTACCGAACGTAGTCCATGGTATGGACTGAGCTCAAGCCTTCTTTGTATCACAATTTGTATCACAATATACCCAACAGGAGTCTAATATGATAAAGTCTGCATTAACGAGACGATTTTTCAAGTTTTAGCAGCCTATATGAGCCAGACAGCCTACTTGTTGTGTTTTCAATGAGTAAATATGTAGTTCATACCATAAATAGTCGYTCAAATCTATTTTTTTATTTTTGCGAAAACGTAGATTATTTTTAACTTTTCAGAACTTCATAATTATTGTGAACTTAAAAGGGAATATTGGTATCAAAAAGTGTGGCATACACTTTGGTTTGAATGAAACCAATATATACAGAGTTATACACTTAGCACACCTTACACGAGAGTCATAAAAACTATTAACTTCACCAATGACAATTCGGAATTCAGTAGGACGCCCGGTAGTAAATATGGCAAATACGAGGTTTGTCTGAAAATTAAAGGACTGACGGAAAATAGGCTCCTTCTGCGCAACCAACGCGATTGAYATTGAARACGTCACGGAAGGCACTCTCTGGAATAGCCTTGAGAGCCGAGGTGCATGCGGCTTGGATCTCCTCTGTCGTCTCAAAATTATTGCCTTTCATCTGCCTTTTCAGAAATCGMCCGGTGGCCACATCTGGGCTATAGGCCGGCTTCGGAACCGTTGTCCTTGGTTAGGTRGCTGTTCACAATAAAGGGCCGGGGCGTTGTCGTGGTGCAACTTCCAATCGGCTGCGATGTCTTGTCGGACCAGATTGACCCTTCGCCAGAGTCCCTTGAGGACTTCCACGTAAAACTGGTTGCTAAAGCAACATCTTGGCAACYCGCGTTGGCATGTTTTGAAGTACAGTCCAGGCGGAAGGAAATCAGTACTATTTTCCGGAAAAACCCTGTATTAAACAATTACATCAATAATGTATCCCTTCTTATTTTACATATTCTTTCATTAAAACCAAGCAACTCGTTTCAAAGATTATCAATATCAAAAAGCTTTTCTAACAACCAATAATGGACACTTTACAAATATTAACAACTTTTTTTTTAAAACTTCTGCTGCGCCCTGTACACATCCCGATATTCTCTCAACTTAATTTGAGTCTGCTCGACCCTGGACGGTCTGCGTCTTAGTTGTTGCGGTTGCCCTTGTTTCTCTTTAATACGTCTCGGTACGACAATAAAAAAGAAATAAACCAGCTCCACAAGACTTATAAGAGAGCAACCCAAAAACAGACCGGTGGTRCTGCCAAATGAAACTGCAARGAGAGAGTTGGATAAAAAATAAACAAATAAACCTTAGGAAATCATACCAATCAAATCGATCCAAGTGTAAACCAAAATCGTCTTATATTTCGTAATAAAATCCTGCTCAAAATATACGTCTAAATCAACTACGGTGCGATTCTCCACAGATTCCGAGGGCATAAGGTCCCTCGACTTGATTGCAACAAAATAGCGTAGGGAATCGCAGCTCACAAAACAACTACACAGAATGCCCGGATATTTGCTGGACATGTATTTCTCCTGACCAGGTATCTCGAAGTTTACAAGATAGTCTATGAAAAATATATGGGACGCTAATACTACAGAAAGTAACTGTTTATAAGTTCGTTTTACTGTTATATTTTGCCAGGCAGGGCAAATCCACGAGTTTGCAGTGCGGATAAGGGCTGGGTGGGAAAAATATGTCCAACGTACAGTTACAATACTTTATGAGGTACTCCTGCTGGCACTGAGAATGACAATTTTCGAAGCGATAGCGATGMCCATGAAGCGTCTTGAAGTCATCACTATTCTGCTCATCCTGTATACAAGCTAAGGGAGTCAGCTTTTAWGACCGAAATTATCTTTAACTTCAAATACCTTAAATACACAACCACGTTCACTGGAGGATACACGCCTCGTCTCGTCTTCATATTTATTAAAGAAACCATCTAAAGTGAGYCGCGTTCGCGTCTGACCGGGAATATCCATTGGGGTGTAGTACCAGACGTCCGGTTCCACAATCATGACCTGCAAATTGTGAGTTAAATCAGTCAAACCTACACTTAATTTGCAAGCGGTTCACCGTTATGCCATCAATACCGCCTGTGAAATGTTGTTGCTTGTTCAACACAACCTGAACGGCRAGTCCCGCATACTTTCCACCTCTATCCGTACGCCAAGGCCAGGTAGAGTCATTTTTGTGCCATTTAGGCCTTTCCACAGAATTGAAGGACACGCAGAAACCTAGCTGTGAACGGCGCTCCATGAAGATGTCACAGCACTTATACACGTGACTCCGCCATTTGCAATGCGTGAGGATCTCCCAGCAACGCCACGCCATGAAACGTGCCACCGTAGTGAAATTGATATAATTCAGCTCATCTAACGGATATTTCTCTAACTGTGCGAAACGATCGAACTTACCGAAGCTAAAGGTGTCGTAGAGTCCAATTATTTCRGTAAAGAGCTCCTCTTTGGAGTTATTGCGATGCGTCGGTAGCAAGAATTTATCCTTCGCCTCCAGTAGACGCGACCAATTAAGCCGATTCTTATTGCAAATCGTTACCTCAGGGTATTTCACTTTATATAATGGAAAGTGTGTGTTTTCGACCACTGTCTTGAATTGTCCCTTTGCAAAGCGTGACGCGAGAAAGAGGCACATGCAGACGAGGAGAATRAAAGCGACAACGAAGGCGATCGTGCTAAGAGCGCTGCAAGCGGAATGTATCAGATATAGCATATATCGATCTTCTCACAACTTACCGTTCAAATTTGCTCACACCTGGTACCAGCATTACGTTTACACCACGAAGTGTGAAGTTTTGAAAACTATTGGTGACAGCATTCTTAGCACAAATCAGAGCCTCAAAATTAATCAGTTTCTGATACCTTTCTTGAACCTCAGTAAAGAATGAGTCCTTTCGAAAATGAGAGTGAGTACTTGCACGCGCTGCTCCCTGTGTTAAAATGACTCTCGTAGGCAATGGACTGTCCGCCAAAAACGGATTTTTGCATGACTTTTATACTTTTGCCAGACAAGCGAATGACCTTGTGCTAATATGTTGGGCGTGCATACTCATACACCCACACACACCTGTCTCTTATACACATCTAGATGTGTATAAGAGACAGGCATACTCATACACACACACACACACACGAACACTTTTACTTGAATACCTGCTTTGTTATCGCTTGGAAAGTTGGATTTTGTGTGAGTTCTCTGCATTTATGCACGCTTAATTGACATTTGATTGAGTCTAAAGTTTGCTGATAAATTTGCACATATATTAACAGCCCTTTTGCACAAAATCGAAATGAATAACGGCACATGCAAAGCTTTATTTTCAAGCACGTGTAAGTAGATTTTACTAAACATTACATTAACACTCGCCGAAGAGTTTCACTTAACAGTGAATAAGCGACACGCGAATAATCAGGACTCTTGGGCGCCACATTATGGGTTAGTGAGACAATTTTGTAATTATTGTGCAATCGAAAAAAAAACATATTAAATAATTGAAATTATATTAACGCTAGTAGTAGTAATTATGTAAATGTGAAATAATATTAAAAATTTTGGGAAATCCAATAAGAGCCTAAAATACAAAATACTCCAAACACAGTTTATTATAGTATAATCGCCTTTATCTGGCCTTAGCTCAAACTCAAATCAAAATTTCCATTTAATTAGTAACTCACTTTCTTAAARCCATTTTTATATAAATTTAAGTTATTTTCGCTACGTTCCCTGTACGAGCGCAACACCGGACGTCTAAGTGACAATTTTTTGTGTAGTTTACCGTTATCTAATCGGCTGCATAAGCGACGCTGCGGCACTTTCACGAGAAAGAAGTAGAACAACTCCACAAGACTGACGAGAGAGCAGCCAAGAAAGAGGGCAGTGATGTTGCCAAAATTATCTGAGGAGGTTAAGTTAAGTCTACAAAAATATCTCCGAGTTATATGCTATACTCACAGAGAAAATCGACCCAAGTGTATACTATATCCGTCTTATAGACGATAATAAAATCTCGTTGGAAATTTATATCCAGCAACAGAGTATCGTTCGTTTTCCAACGCTCTTTCTGTTGCAGAGGTCTGGTACGCACCTTAATGTTATAGCGCCATGAGCGACAGTTGTAAAAACACTTGCATACCATGCCCGGATGATTGGTTTTAAATGCCTCCTTATATGACTCCTGGAAATATTGAACAAGATCTGTGGAGAAAACAATTATTTTTCATATTCATTTTAATATTTTTCTAACACTTACGGTTGTGATGTGCCAAACATGGAAAGTCCACCAACTTGCATACTGGGTACGCGCCGATTGGGAAGAATATATCCACAGTACAGTTGCAAAACTTCATGAGGTACTCCTGCTGGCATTCAGCTTGGCAATTCTCATACATATACACGTGGCCGCTGAGTGTTTTAAAGTCGGGACTATCCTGTTCGTCCTACAAAATATCGGTAGCGTGAGTTTGATTCAACCACACAAGCTTATTTAGTTTTGTAACCTTAAAGACGCATCGTCGCTTCTTCGATGACACGCGTCTCGTGCCTGGATCGAAGAAACTCATGAACGCACCGAGGTACACACGCGCATATAMATCTTTCGGTATATCGATAGGCGTAAAGCTCCACACTTTGGGTTGCACAGTCATGATCTATAGTATTAAAACTTGCAAATTCTCATACCACAAAAATGCAAACACACTTTCACTTTCCACTCACCGTAATACCTTTCGAACTGGCCGAGTACGGCGAATGCTTATCTTCATTGAGTATTGTACGRACCTGTAGACCATACTTCGAACCACTGGTACCCACACGCCACGGCCATTTCGAGTCCATTTGCTGCTTCAAACGCCCGCTAGACGATTCTATTGAATTGAATGCCATGCAGATGCCCAGAGTCGACCGTCGTCTTATGAAAATGTCACAACAGTCCATAGGATACATGCGCCAAACACAATCCGTTAGCAGTTCCTCACAACGCCACGTCATGCTACGCACCACCTCAGTGAAATTGATATAGTTGAGTTCGGATATTGGCTTATGTGTTAGATTCGCGAAACGATCGAAGTAGCCGAACAAGTATGTGTCGTGCATGGCGACAATCTCTACGAAAAGTCGCTCATACGAAGTGTTGTGATGTGCATGCCACAGAAATTTCTGTTTTACCTCTCCCAAGCGCGCCCAATTCAAGCGATTCTTATTGCATATAGTCACTTCGGGAAAGGGTACTTTGTAAATGGGATAATTGGTGGAGTATATGGTGGTTTTGAATATAGTTTGTGTAAAGCGATTGGCAAGATATTGACTGAAGTAAATGAGCAGGCTCAGTGCAGACACGACACACAGAGCCCAAAGTGCGCTGAAAGAATGAAAGCATGAAAGATTTCAAATATTGCTGTATTTGCTATTTTGAAGATAAGTACCACGGAAAACTTACCGCTCCACTCGTCCTGTACCAATGCTTAGCATGCGCATCAAACCGTGTACGCTCGCTTCTCTACCATATGCTGCCAACTCCTCTTGAAAAATGTCTTGACAGTTTTTGTATTTAGACTGATTACCTTTTTCGATTTTGGAACTTGATTTTTTACTAATTTTTTTGACTTTCACAATGTAAATGTCTTTTTTTACTGACAGTTTCATATCTGATTCCAGCAGGGACATGATGTACTAGATCAAGTTTGCGGTAACCGACAGGAAATTGCTCTTAAAGTTAGAAAACTGATTTTAGTTGAAGTTAGTTTCTAAAATTCTCTGCTGTTCTCAGAACAGCGATGAACAATTTCAATGAGTCTTAACCAATTTGTATGATGTGTTAAGCAATTATCAAGGAAAATCAGAAGTTCTTTGTCGAAGACCTCAGCTAATTTGTCTTGTTAAAACTAATGTTTATAACGATAATTGCCTCTTCCTGAATTTGGTTGTGTGCTGTGATCTCAAGTATATAAAACCAACTCAAATAGCACCTTTTCAGCTTTAAAGAAGAAGGTAGATTAGTGATCGATGCGATCGCGTAAGTGTTCTTAGCGACACTATAAACGACTGGTTACGTTTTAAATAAGTCGAAAAGGGTCGAAAAAAGACGGCTTTTCAAGGTTTGAAACAACTCTWTAACCGCGACGCTAGCAAAGGCTTAGCTTTAACTTAAGATTTACACAATAAGATTTGTTGCTACAGCTATAATAGTGTCAGAATAAGTAAGTAGTTCCATCTGAAATTACTTCATTTGATAACGAGCTCGGTTAGAAATTTCAGTGACAAATTGTGTTAAGATTTCTAAGATTAACAACAGACTGATGTAATTTATATGGAACAAAGAACATAATGTCCATATAAAATTTATGTGCGAGGACGAGGTGGAGACTGCTAAGACTGCTACCATTCGGCTGAAATAGTGCGAACTGCGCCATTTTGATGCTAGTTCCTCTATGATCTTGCTATCTCTTTTCATCTTAGCACTGAAACCATTTGGTGCTCTTAATGAAGCTACATATATCCGTAAGGATTTTTGTGGACAGCCATTTAGTTTGATATTAGCCCTAGTACTAAGGACTCTTATCAAATTTGGGCCATATCTGTTTCGTTATCTTGCAATTGATTACTGACTTCTGCTCTGAGTTATGAATATGTTCAAAGTAAAAAGTTTCCTTTTGATTTTGGACATGGTATTAACTCTGCTTCGCTTTCGACAGCATAAATGATGCTATGGCCGATGTCCAAATTAGAAACAAATGCAGTTGAACGGTACGCTGTACTGGTAGTAGTTTCGGCTACGAAGTCTGACCGGAGACTTAAWTCTGSTACCACGGGGAGCAGGAGCCCTTGGAGGTAACTCCAACCTGCTCATGCGGACTGGCCCCTCGGGGAGTATCGTGGTGGTTGTGGTTTATACCCAAAGGCGAGTAGAATTGACATTTTGTCAGTTCGATGTGGAGTTGCATTGCAACCGGGTGCCGGACCCATAGTACGGCAGAGGTTTTAGATGGGACTCGAACCCTACCAAGGTGGTTAGTGTGTCCATTCCATACTGCTAATTGGTACTGAAAATGCCTGGTATTTTCAGGGCGCTGATCAACGCATTGATTTGATCCGTTGTACTTTTGAGTACCGTGGAGTAAGTCGTCAGCAGGTACCCATGTAAAAGTTTCCGGTTGGTACGCTGAAATTTATCTATGGTATCGACAAGGCCTGCAATGTCGCCTACCTGACCGTGCGTATTGGTTTTTTCTGTATCGTCCCATAAAAATAGTCCTGGTGGAGGCTGCACACGCTGTTCTCTGTATTATATTTAGTTTTCTGATATTATAATGTTTCTTCTGGGCTGGCCACCAAACCAATGCTTTATATGGCAGAACTGGGTTAATGACGGCCGACGGAAATATGTTTTCCATACGTATTATTTGAATAAGATTAAAAGAACACAAACATAAACTAATTTAGATATTAAAATCTTAGAACTACAATTTGGGATATTCTATTGAATTCGTGCTACAACTTTTCTATACACAAATGTTCTAAAAAAATATTTTTTTCACACTTTTAAAGTTTGTTGAACACCAGCGAATCACTTTCAAATATGAAGGAACCATTAAGAAAGACCGTTGTTAACTGCAATCAGAATACCAGAGTCGCTACTATTTATATGATTATTCTATTATTTATTTAATGCTATTAATTTTTTTATTTCCTAATTATCCTTCATCATTTTCAAAAGCACTTAATCATGCAACAGAGTCCACTTACAGAGCAAACAAGCGATTAAGCTAGCACTTTCTCACAAAATCTTGAATTTTGTTTGTAAACACTTTTGTTTTCACACCAAATTCTCCTGACGACGACAAATTCACAATAACGCACAGAAATTACAACTGAAAGCATAAGTCAGAAAACCGTTTATGCACTTTGAGGCAGGCGTTGCACTGTCCGTACCACACGTGCCACGGAGACCATGACCTGCTTGAATGGACTCAAAATCCCGCCAACTCAATAGCGTGTGGACAATTTTTTGCAAATCTTTGTAAATAATCATATTTATGAAACAAACGGTAAATATTTACCAGCGCACACATTACACAAATACACAAACCACACAGACATTAATTGCTACGCATATGCACTCACACGCACAATCATAATCAAGTGGGACGCGACGGCCAGTGGAAGCGGATGAGACGTGTAAATAACTTGTGGTCATAAGTCTATAAACCATAGACTAGGCAAACATAGCGTCATGAATAATGAAATGGAACAAAATACAAAACATTTTTTTAGCCAGCCAGTTGAGCTCTAGTTTTGGTTTACTTCCAGTCAACATAGGACCGCCAAACAACAACGGAAAAATGGTTTATCCAGCACGCTTTCAAGCGTCACAAGCTAACGCGCTGCAGCTGTCCTACTCGGCGAGGCATACACCATTGCCGCAGAAACCGCGCATGATAATACAACTGCCCTCCTGGAAGAGTATACGACGCACGGCCGGCGAAATCAGCGCCTCCGCCTGGGAGCTGGCCTTCCGCTTTGGCCAGAGCACCACAATACATGGCGTCAATCGGTTGTTCAGCAGGAGTGCCGGAAAGTATGAACGGTAAGTTGTAGAAGACAGGTACTCAAATTCATTTACAATCCCTTCCTATAATTTCTCACACCACAGCTTCGTCTGGTTCCTCACCGTCATGCTTGCCCTACTTGGCGCTATATATGTCAGTCACTTACTCTCTGATCGTTTCAGCGAAGGCCGTTTAGAAACTGTAGTGGATAGCACTCGCTATCCCATCTATCACATCAGCTTTCCGGTAGTGGCCATTTGCAATATGAACCAACTGAATTGGGAAAGACTGGAAGAGGCCAAGCGTCGTTATCTCGAGCCCGATACGACACCGGAAAATCAAGAACTCTTTGAGCGTGTTATTGGCAGTTTTGATGGTATACACTTTGCCGGCTTTGAGAGTTTTTTGAAATTCCAAAACATATCTCTTGATGCGCTGAACTACGTCAACTTTACTGAAGTAATGATATTTATGACTTGGCGTTGCGAAGAATTATTGAGTGAATGTATTTGGAATCACTTCCCTATGAACTGTTGTGACATCTTCTCTTTGCGACGCAGCAAAAATGGTCTCTGTTGGGCTTTCAACACTTTGGAAACGGATGAGGGACGACAGCGGCAAAAGGTTGATCCGCTGTGGCCTTGGCATACAGGCGCCGCCGGTCCGGGTAGTGGCCTTATGGTGCGCGTAGATGTCAATGCAGAGAAACAGTATCCGAGAAGCACCAACGAGAAAGGTGTAAAAGTAGGTGGAGTAATGCTTTCATTTCAATAGATACGGAAATAATTAGTAAAGTTTTTTTAGGTTATGATCGTGGAACCAAACGTGTGGCATATGGATCCAATGAACATACCGGAAAATACACACACAATGATAGAAGTGGAGCCGGTAGTATATTTCTATGACAATAATACTCGTGGACTGGGTTCTAAGTTGAGAGAGTGCATTTTCGATGTAAGTAAATTCTAGGAAAAGCTTTGGTAAATTTGCTTATATAAAATTCTATGTGACAGTAACTTTGCTTATGTAGAAACCCATTCCTAGATAACTAAATAATTACTTTTTCTTTAGAAACCCCATTTTGACCCCATTGTCTATGCAGCACTCGTAAGAAGGCCCATAAGTATTTTTCTTCTTTACTGGCATCGAAACCGCTTACGCGATTATACTAGAGTTAGCAACCGCGTGCCAATCGTTTCTTCTGTCGCAACGTGGGCCAATTGGAAATTGCAAGCGAAGCCAGGTCCTTCCCCGTCTGGTCTTTCCAACAGAGTAGAGGTCTTCCTCTTCGGCTTCCCCCGGTGGGTACAGTGTCGAATACTTTCTGAGCTGGAGTAGTTTCGTTCATTCGACGACCTTACCTAGTCAACGTAGCCGCTGTATTTTAATTCACCGAACTATGTCAATGTCGTCGTATATATCATATAGCTCATCGTTTCATCGAATGCGATATTCGCGAAGGACCGTAAATATTGCGCAGAACCTTTCTCTTGAAAACTCGTAACATCGACTTACATATGTTGTCATCGTCCATGCCACTGCACCATATATCAGGACGAGAATAATGATATACTTTTAGAGTTTGGTTGTTATTCGCCGAGAGAGGCATTTACCTCTCCATTGCCTACTCAGTCCGAGGTAGCACCTGTTGGCAAAAGACATTTTGCTTTGCATTTCGAAGCTGACATTGTTGTTAGTCTTAATACTGGTTCCAAGATAGACGAACTTATTTACTAATTCGGAGTTATGACTGTCATGGGAGCCTAGTCATAAGTGATTCGATTCCTTATCCATTCTGCAGAAAGCAGAACTAACGTCACTGTTTTTGACGGTTGTTAAGGCCATTGATATCGATATCATGGGCATAAGTTGTATGTTCTTCTAAAAGTACCTCCCTATTTAGTTCTGCAAAGTGTAGATGAAAGAAGTCGCACAAAAGGGAGTCGGCTTGTCTGCAACTTCGGTTGGCATCGAACGCCTCAGAGAAGTCCTTCCCGGTTCTGACTTAGATTTTGGTATTGGTCAACGTTCGTTTACAAAGTCGTATTAATTTTGCTTGGTCATCTTTCAGACATCGCTGCATAAAGGCAACTACTTTTCGTGCTGTCAAAAGCAGCTTTGAAATCGATGAAGAGGTGGAGCAGATGGGAATTGGGTTCACAGTCTCCTGATGTTATGATTTCACTGCCATTAAGCTGAAAAAGTCTTCCCTCCATAATCTTAGTGTGCTATGAGCATCAGTTACTACATCAGCTCTGAGGGTTCTAACAGAATGATGATAGCAAATTTGTGAAGTTAATGGAATATAAGGTGCTTCAAAAAGATTTTCGGAAAGCTCAATAAATCAGATCATATCGAAGTAAGAGCTATATCATCTTGTTCTTGGTTTTTTGGTAGATAGGCAGCATTATTCCGTGTAATGTAGATTCAAAGAGATATTTGCTTGAGTCACAAAATTCCATACCTTACTCTCAGTTTTATGGATTGTATTAAGACGAAATTTAAAAAAATATAGAGAGACACACTAAATACTTTAATTCCAGCGATACTGAAATTCTTGCCTTAAAGATTATTTTCTTTCATTCGATTTTCTACCACACAAAAGGACGAAGAGGGCGCTAGAAATGTTCGCACACTTCAAGGTTACGTTTATATGATTGAAAATTGCCAATCGGAGTGCCATCAACAGTACTTGGTGAAATTTTGCAATTGCACAATGGATCTGCTATTTCCACCTGGTAAGCACGTACGAGCTATCAAGAGCGCCACTCAGTCGCTCGTCAATTTAACATCAATAAAACACGCACTCACTCATACTCATTATGTGTATATCACTCTCACTTTGTTGTAAATTCCCTACTTAAGACAAGACTTTACTTGTATTTTCAGGACCCTACCCTACCTGCCGCGCAAAGGACTTGGTGTGTTTGGCGCAGAATAATGGTAATACGCTACATTAACAGCTCCACTTAATCATGCTCCCTCTTCCATTCTCAATTTGCCCGTCCTCTTCTACTCCCGACTTCTCTCTCACACCACCTTCATATTTGCAGAACACTTTCTGTATTCTCACCGCGCGGAGGAGGAATTATATGTGCACAACTATCACGAGGGCATGGTTTGTGAGTGTTTCCGCAACTGTTACTCGCTCAACTATGTGTCGGATGCGCGTCCATCATTTCTACCGCCGGAAATGCACGACAATCACTCATATATCTTCTTGGATGTACATTTCCGTTTCGAGACAATGATGGTTTATCGCACAAGTTTAATATTCGGTTGGGTGGACTTGATGGGTGAGTTGTTGGCGGAGCTCTCTCTCTCTCTCTCTCTTTGCTTGCTTAAACTGTAAATTTGCTTTAATTTGCTGCTTTCAGTCGCCTTTGGTGGCATTGCTGGGCTCTTTCTCGGCTGCTCGCTAATAAGCACYATGGAGTTGGCCTACTTTCTGCTCGTCGATCTGCCCACCTTTATGCTGCAAAAATATCGCAACAAAAAAGGTAAAATGCAAGATAAAAAACGTTCGGTTGTTGGGCCCATGGAGCAATTGCAAGTGAAAACTAATAATTGGACGCAAATTCAGCAGTTTAATATGAAAAACCAGCTAATACATCCACAAAGCTATGAAAGTCTTTACAGCAATAGCAAAATGAACAAAAAACTGCCGCTAATCACAGACTGGCAGAGCCCACCAATCGCTAAAATACACTACTAGAAAAGCTTCTACTTGTATATACATTGTTGTTATGCAGCTTCTTCAGTAAAATACACATGTTCAATAAATGTAATAAAAGCGGTGTTCGATTCGCCATTCTTCTACACGCGCTGTTGGCAAAAATTTTACATGTAAAAGCTGCAACAAAGTTATCGTGTTGTATTCGATACAACAGTGTAAGGGCAACCGCGACAAAATACTTTTATTTTTTTTTTGTTTTTTTTTTTTTTGATTTTTGTAGATTATAGGAAATGTTCAACGAGTAATGTGCGTATATAAAGGCATAATTGAAAAATAAAACTTTCAAAATTTTTTGAGATGATGTGACAGTAAAAAATAATGTCAAATTAAAAGTTTTCAACTGATCGAAATAATATATTAGATTGCCCTCATATTTGTTATTTACTCGTATTCATGTATAATGAATGTGATATTAAGTTAGATTCACATTGCTCATTTTGCCAGGAAAAATTTCAATTCATTTAAATATTTCATTATTTTAGTCATTTGCCATCACATTTTTTCGGCCTTATACTCAATGTTCTTTTAAAATGTACCAATAAGTTATTGTATGTACAACACATATCAATAAATGTATTAGTAGTAYAATTTTGTGTTTTAAATTCGGATATCTCCTTTAAAGGATCCTCGTGTAGGTAGGATTGAATACACAAAAAAAAATACGTACATATGTATGTGTGAGCAGAGGGTACACTACTCCTGAAATTTTTATATATGTATGTAATATTTATGTAATATTTAAAAAACGCTTATGTGCTTGTTCTTATCATAACTATATACATATGTTCTCTAGGGTGCCTCAAAACCTGAAAAATTGGTCAATTTTTTGTTTTTTTTTTTTTGTTTTTTGATTTTTGTTTTGAAAAATATGTATCTCGTTTCCAACACTATTTCGTTTTATAGGAAATTTAATGCTCTACAAAATAAACTTCTATGGTTTCAAAGATATATTTTTCATTGAAGTTTGACTATTTCAGTTAAGTTGTAATTATATAATTTAATGAAAAAACATCATCTTAGATATCAAGTGCTCAGAGTCTTGTAGGAAATATTCTGCTTCACAAAAATGGTCTATATAATTTTTAGATTAAATTAAGSGTTTAAGGAGTTATATACAGTCAAAAGGAAAGCGGTTTTCCAGGATTTTTTCAAAGAMAACTTTTASTTTGAAYGATGCTGAAGTGTGTATTCATATTGTGGTATTTTTTTTAACTGTATTCTAAGATTTAGTATTTGTCAAAATATTCCATATAAAGGAACAACAGCTGATCTCCGAGAGCTTCTCTCAAAAAGACGTTTGCGGTGACCACCATATCTCTGAACTGTRTCCTCTCAAATTAAAAAACAAAACAGATTTCGTTTAAGTAATGTTGTATCTAGTAATTTACCGAAGAAATAACAGAATATCAATTTTTCACCAAAATTTCCAATTAATATAATTGTCATCCGTGAGAAAAAACGTTCGATTAATTATTGAAAAATATTTTCAAAAAGTTCGTGTTTGAGACTAATCGGTTTAGCCGTTCTCGTATCATCGACTTTGAAAATACCAATTTGAGAAATACCTGCTTAATGTTTGGCCTTGTACTTCAAGCACTCTGAAACGACTTTTCAAATTTACATGTAACTTCGAAAATATTCACCGGAACAATATGAAATTTTCTCTATTTATTCTTATATACATATATGTATGTATATGTACATTAAGAAAATAAAATAAAATATCGATTTTTGGAAAACTCCAGCCATATCCACTTAAAAATATTTCTCGTCAATAATCATCGTGAAAACAAAAAATATATATATACAATTTCTTACAAAATCCGCAAAGACGAAAAAATTTTTGAGGTCGTTGGAAACGGGTTACAAATATTTCTATCTGGTAATAAAAAGTAAATAGTAAACCATTAGGCGGTGGACCTTCCCGTCACAATTAAGAGCTTATAAAAGGCTCTCCAACCATTCATAGAAATGACTATCAACCAAGTTTTCAGAGTACCAAGCAAAATAAAAAAAAATAAAAACATTCACATTTGTTAAGTGCGACAGGAAAGATAATTTTAACTTTATAATCTAAATGTCGATAAAATGTTTATTCTCAGTAATGCTTATAAACTTTCAAAGCATTTCTTGTCTAGTTTCGTTTTGTGGAATATTGTCCAACTATTTCCGATTCCTTGAAACTYTTTAATCAGTTATTATGCTTAAAAGCTGTTCCTTCTCTCAAAGTTTTACCATCTAATAGTTGGATAGARCAGCTTTCGTCGAACCAATGGATTCCAAGATTCCAATAGCTCATTCATATACTACTTATTGGTTGGTAGCTGTATCTTTCTAAGAAGATAGGCAGTACCTTGCTTCTACTCATACATTGCTTTTTCAGGGTTATCGACCTTAAAGATAAGTTATTCTTTAGCAGATATAGGAACAGTAACATAATTTTTGGCTTTACTGGAGAAAATCTTAGCTGTAGCTCCAGTGGACGTACCAGCATTTGCTAAGCTGCTACCTAAGCTCCTACCTTTATATTTCGTAAGGAAAGCTGCCGGCTTTAGCTCTCATCATTATATTAGCTATCATAACTTGTTGAAGAAGCTGGCCTCCTTTAGGKAATAATTATTTAGCTCCGTATGTTTCCAAAAATTGTGGCTGCTGCTGGTACCTCTACTACAGCTATTGCGGCTGAAAAAGAAGCTAAAACGGAGGAGATGGTTTCAAAAGAAGACGACGATATGGATTTTGAAACCTGCAGTGACTCCGCTCTGTTCGAGACTGACTTAAGTTTAAAGAGCCCTCAGTTAGGCTGGAACTCGGAATGAGTCTCTGTTGTTGTATGCCAACTTTTTTGTAATGAACTTAACGTCTTTCTTTTTTACATTTACATACTTGAATGCTTGACCTTAACAATGAGTAAAAAAATTTGAAAGTTTTCGTTCGATCTAAAATTCCAGATATTTGCTCTCTACTGTCGCGATGACTGCCTGTGCGAACTTATACAATGAAAGTCACTCCTTGGCTCAGCTGCTAATGTAAGCATACAAAGTAGCTGTAATTTTTCAAAATCCTCTCAATTTGTTATAACTGTAATGTTTCACCTCCTCGTCAGAGTGAACATACTAAACAAACACGGCAATTGCTGCCGCTGCTGCCTGGGCTCGCCTACTTTGATTACCGGCAATTGATGTGCATTGCTTCACTGTTCGAGAGCTGCTCGGCGTCATCTACCTTCGTTTTACGCTCTGCCGCTTGTTGACAACTCCATTTGGCAGACATTGTTAATCAAAATTGAGGTTAAAGCGCAACGGAGCATAGACGCACAACCTAGAGCGCACTAGCGCTTACTTAGACGTGTGTGTTTGTGGCGACACATATGTGTGTAGGTGCGGATACTTTTAAGGACGCTTGAGTTTGGGAAGACATCTAAATTAACATCCCCTGAGGGCGTTGCTTAGCAAACGCCCATAAGAAAATGTTCACAATGTTTCAGCAAACAAGCACACAGCCCCCAACTGTATGTGTGTTTGTTTCGGCAGTGTGAATGCTCGAAATGCTCGTACACCTTAAAATATGCTACTCTCTATGATTGCTGTTGACCATAAAATGTGTTGCAATTAACCTTCTGGTCGCTGCTGGCTACAAGGCACCGCCACACTAACAATCCCATGCATCATTCATGTGAAATCACAAGTTCACGAGAGCGCACCAATAGATACACATACGAAGCCACACACACACACACACAAATTGATAGTTTGTTGCGACAAATGGCTCTAAGCGTTAGTGTCATCAACAAAACATTGTCGCCTTAACTATTTTGGGGATTTTGGGAATAGAAATTGTCTTAGTTGGCATGTTGCAAGAAAGCTTTGTGGAGGGATTAGAAAAAAATAAGATTTSCTTCCATAGTTTTAGGTGCCAAAGAGCAATTTCTTAGGAGATATGGATGATCAAATATGAAATGAAATTGCGAATTGGTAATTTTSGGTATTGCGTGCCTAAAAGTATGCTTAAATTTTAATTGCTACATAAATATTACTTTAAAATAATTTTTCTTCGATATCTTCACATGAAATATGCTCTTTTTTCGTATGCGCTACAATCCTCAGTCCACCAGCGGTCGAATATTAAATGCACAATTGTTCAAAAAAGTTGCAGCAAAGCGAAATTATGAATTATATGCAGACTTACTTTGTAAAAATAGTCAAAACAGCTTAGCAGTCTTAGTCGACACTTCAGTTGAAAGAAAAAACGCAACCTCCAGGCAATTCCACACCATATTTTCACCTCTCTTGCTATCTCATTTTTTTTTTTTTTTTTTTTTTTTTTGCATTATTCACTTACTTCCGCTGCCTCGGGTAATAATAGCGGTGGAAATGTGTAAATTTTGGCGCAAAATGCAGTCGCATGGCGCATAGTTTAGCATAGTTCTAAGCGTCGCGCCATGTATGGAGTGCTCTGGTTTACTTATTGACTCGTTASCGTCAACTTCAGCACATCACTTGCTGGCGCTGTCTGTGTTTGATAGTACTCCTTGAGTTTTTATAGCATGCGAGTAGATATATATGCATAATTTCCCTAAGTTGGTGTCACAGTTGGTGTCACAGTGGGATGTCATCTTAAAGTAAGCTCAACGATTTTCATTAAGAGACATAAAGAGCAAGGCCGCTAGGTTGCATTAGGTCGTAGGATTGATTTTCGCGATAAAGGTTACGCTGGATCTCACATGAATGGCTGTAAAAGTTKTTGCCCAGGAGCTCCTAAGAATGAATCATGGATCATCAGATTTTCATAAATCGACGAAGCKTTTTAAGCTTACTACAAAGTTCYTTAGGCGGTTAATATTAATTTCAAGTTCTTCGCAGGGTTTGTCGAAAATGTATCCACCGTAGTATATCAACCTCAGTCTTGAGTTATAATGCAGAGGAGAAAATATCTTGAGGAATTCACTTTGGCTTGCCTTATACAGCCTTCTGGACAGG